CACCATAACTTGTCAACATCACCTCCACTAATATCAGGTATAATGCGTCGTTATGAAAGTATTATAACAATACTACTGTGATATAACTCTGACCTCACCTCTGCATCTGTGGTATAATGACACAGTTCTGACCTGGGAACTTGTTTGTGGAATTTGTCCTTCCTGGTGGGGAGGAGGGGGAGGTGGGGGAGAGGGGAGGGGAGGGGAGGTGGGGGGGGAGGGGGGAGGGGGGGAGAGGAGAGGAGGAAGGTGAGGGGGAGGTGGGGGGAGGTGGGGGGAGGGGGAGGTGGGGGAGAAGGGGAGGGGGAGGAGGAGGAGGGAGGTGGGGGGTAGGGGTTAGACAGGCATGGGATCCTAACCTAACCCAACCTTAGTTTTTTCTTTAGAATTTTTTTTTATTTGTAGTTGTTGTTGTTGTTGTAATTTGTTGTTTATGAATACTTAACCTAACCTAACCTAATCCTTGTCCTTCTTGATCACATCTCCTCCTCCTCCTCCTCCTCTTCTTCCCTACTCCTATCCTCCTCCTCCTCCTCCTCCTCCTCCTCCTCCTCTTTGCAGGTTTCATATCTAATTGACCCTCGATATAACGGACTTCCTATCTATATAGTCCGTTAAATGGAGGTTTTTGACTGTACATGTATTTGTTTTGGAGTTGAAGTTGAAACAAATAAAATGATTATTATTGTTTAAGTTGCCAGGTGAGGTGAGGAGATGGCTTCAGGTAGAGCTCAACACCTGTCATTCTATCTCATCAACAGGTATATACAACCACTTGTGTTAGGTTAGGTTACGTTAGGTTAGGTTAGGTTAGGTTAGGTTAGGTTAGGTTAGGTTAGGTTAGGTTAGGTTAGGTTAGGTTAGGTTAGGTTAGGTTAGGTTAGGTTAGGTTAGGTTAGGTTACGTTAGGTTAGGTTACGTTACGTTAGGTTACGTTAGGTTACGTTACGTTAGGTATTCATAAACAACAAATTAAAACAACAACAACAAATACAATAAACAAAAATTATCCTAAAGACAAAACTCAGGTTGTAGGAGGCTGCGGGGAAGACTGACCACAGGAACAAACTCACCAAAACACAAACTATTATTTTATATTTAGTTGAGGCTACAGAGGAGGAAGAGGCTGTAAAAGTAGTCAAGATGAGGAAACTTTAACCATAAGAGCCTTTAGGAAGCTGTAGACTCCCTGGTATTATAAATAGGATGAGGTAGAACTGAGGTATAACAAGGTGTAATAGCATCGTCCAGGTAGATACACGAGGTAAGTTTTTTTTTTAGGAGGGTTACCTGTACACCTGCTGATGTGTGTGTGTGTGTGTGTGTGTGTGTGTGTGTGTGTGTGTGTGTGTGTGTGTGTGTGTGTGTGTGTGTGTGTCTATGTCTGTGTGTGTGTGTGTGTGTGTGTCTATGTCTGTGTCTGTGTGTGTGTGTGTGTGTGTGTGTGTGTGTGTGTGTGTGTCTATGTCTGTGTGTGTGTGTGTGTGTGTCTATGTCTGTGTGTGTGTGTGTGTGTGTGTGTGTGTGTCTGTGTCTGTGTGTGTGTGTGTGTGTGTGTGTGTTTCTCATGGTCTCTGTCTCTCATGATGAGTAGTGACGTCTTAATGTTCTCTTCTCTGTCTATCTGTCTCTCTACAACATCGCATCACCAAGAGATAAGAACCAGGGTGTGGCCAGTCTCTCTCTCTCTCTCTCAGCACCGTCAATAGACAAGTACCTCAGACAGTGGTATCAGAACCCAGGGTGTGTGGTTAAAGTGGTTCTGGTAACACGTAAGATAAGTTTGGTGTGGGTGGCCAGGCTGAGAGGACCTCACTAAATGATGGATGATACGACGCGCAGGTGTTGGTGCTGAAGTGAGTGGGGTGGGGGTGGTGGGTGGTGTGTAGGGGTGGTGGTGTGGTGTGGGGGGTCAGGAGTGTAGGGGTGGAGGGTGGTGATGGTGAAAATGGTCACCTATCCTAACCTAACCTAACCTAACCTACAACCTGTAAAGTCCCAAGGTTGGGTCATCAGGTTATTGACTTGGTTTAGACATTTAAGGACAAACATATACCTGACGGAGGCGCCGCGAGGTGTCCTAACAAGTTTTTACCTGCCATTACCTGGAGGGAGAGTCTGAGGCCCTCCACCTCCTGAGGGCGTGACCAGCTGGCCTCAACACCCGATACTTCAGGTGTGACCAGGATGCTGACGACCTGATGTTACAAATACGACCTGTAGTGTTGTAAGCCTGATATTACAGGTACGACCAGGAGTAATTAAGGACCTTTACCTGTCTCTAAAAAGCTCCCGAGAAGAATATTTAAACTAAAGTAATAATTGTCTCTATTTATGGCGTGAGTTGACTCCCGTGTACAGCAGAACACAGGTGAGGAAGGCCGAGTGTAGGGCAGAGTATTACCAACACCTGTAGAGTAACACTGTGTTTGTATGTGTTGGTTTTTATTAGTTTATCTTCTTTTTTCTTTCTCTCTATCTTTATCTAATTTTTTTCTACTCATTCAATCTCTCTCCAACCTCCTCCCCCCTCCTCCTCCTCCTCCTCTTTCTTCTGTACCTCACCTCATCTTCTTCCTCTTCCTCCTTCCTTTTCTATACTTTCCTCATCTCTTCTTCTCTTCTCCTTCACCTTGTCACTTCCTCTCCACCTACCCATACCTACCCTAATCCTCTCCCTATACCTCCCCCTCTCCATCTTCACCTCCTCACACCTCTCGTCCTCACCCTTCACCCCCCACCCCTCCAGCACCAGCAGTAGGAGAGTAAGGAGACTCGAATGTCATCACCATGGTCTTAGTGACTTGCAGACGTGTGAGCATTTTCTTCTTTCCTGCCAAATAAAGGTGTGAAGGAGTGGCTTACCTGTTACCATACCAGTCAGGTGTTGTCAGGTGAGTGTTTGGTGGTGACAGTATACCCTGTCATCACCAGTCTTTTATCCCTCTAGACTGGTGACTGGGTTTTGGTTAATTGCACCAGTTTTATACTGATGTTATAAGTGTGTGGTGAGTGTATGTCAGTCTATTACTACATCAGACAGACAGACAGACAGATACACACACACACACACACACACACACACACACACACACACACACACACAGAGACGTCGTATGTAAACAAATATCATGACAAAAGCAGCAGTAGTTTCCTTGAGTGTTTATCTTGTGTGTTAAGTGTATGTTGAGACAATACTTCACCCCGTCTCTGGCTGAGTGTACAACAGTCACCCTACCATCACTCCCACACCCCTCAAATCATCCCACAGCACCCCCACACATTCCCCCACATCACCCCACATTACCAAGAGACACCTAGAGGAATGATGAAACAACAATACCCTAATGTATAGCCTCAGCCACCTCTCCCCAGGTCTGGCGGCTGAGAACACACCAATGTCAGTTTAACTTTCTACTCACCTTATGTGGTTAATGAGAAACGGAAGGTGGTGTTGTAAGGGGGGTGTGGGGAAGGTGGAATGAGTATAGTTGTGGTGCTAAGAGGTTGGTGATGATGGTGGTGGTTGATGGTGTGGTGGTGATAGTGGTAGGTGGTGGTGGTTAATGGTGTAATATAGGTTGGTGGTAGTGGTAGGTAATGATGATGGTGTAAGGAGGTGGTGATGGTATAAGGGGCTGGTGATAGTGATAGGTGTGGTGGTGGAAGTATACATATTAGTAGTAGTAGTGATAAGAACATAAGAAAATAAGGAGTCTGCAATAGGCCGGTTGGCTTGTGCATGGCAGCTTTTGTCGAGAGTTACTACCACTCTCTATCATCCATGAATCTATCTAGCCTCCTTTTAAAACTTCCCAGAGTTCCCGCACTTACTACAAAGTTGCTAAGCTTGTTCCACTCGTCCACCACCCTATTTGTGAACCAGTTCCTTCCTATCTCCCTCCTAAACCTAAACTTATCCAACTTAAATCCGTTGCTACGAGTCCTATCTTGCTCGGATATTATAAGAACTTTATCTATATCCCCTTTATTGATTCCTTTCACCCACTTAAATACTTCTATCATATCTCCCCGCACTCTTTGTCTTTCTAGGCAATGCAAGTTTAGTTTCTTTAACCTATCTTAATATGGAAGGTTTCTAAGTCCCGGAATCATTTTCGCCATTCTTCGCTGCACCGACTCCAGTGAATTGATATCCATTCTATAATACGGGCACCAGAACTGAACCGCATAATCGAGGTGCGACCTGACTAGCGCAATATATAGTTGCAATAAGACCTCTGCACTCGTATTACTTACACTTCTAGATATAAAACCTAATACTCTGTTTACCTTATTTAGAACATTAACGCACAGTTTTCTAGGCCGTAGGTCCGGGCTTACAAGTACCCCTAAGTCTCTTTCACAATTCGACTTCTCTAGGTTAATGTTGTTAAGGCTGTATACATTGACAGTATTTGTTCTTCCAATATTAAGTACGCTGCACTTGCTGGTGTTGAATTTAATTTGCCATTTTTCTGACCACTCCTGCAATTTATTTAAATCCTCCTGTAGTGCATTTGCATCCTGCCCTGAATTAATCTGCCGCCCTATTTTGGTGTCATCAGCAAAATTGCTTATGTCACTGCTGATTCTAGTATCTAGATTGTTTATGTAGATTATGAACAAAAGTGGACCTAGTACTGACCCCTGGGGAACCCCACTGGTTACACAGCCCCACTCAGATTTAACACCATCCACGCTGACCCTCTGCGTTCCCCTCGATACCATGAGCCTTAACTTTTCTCAGAAGCCTCTGATGCGGTACTCTGTCAAATGCTTTGATGGTGGTAGTGGTGATGGTGGTAGTGATGATGGTGGTAGTGATGAGAGTGTTTCTGTTCATTAACATTCTTCACCATCTGTACTTCTCATAAAAGCACTGGATTTGGAATTTGATATTTAGAAACTACCTTATGGATATGACTAAATTTGCATTCCTTACGCACCTGTGATTTTCTACACCTGCTTCCCTTACCTCGGCGCTCCTGCAGTGCACATTCAGCAGTTGAAGGAGGTGGTTCACATTCACGTAGGTACAGTCACTCAAAGAACTATCTGTACTTGGGGGTGATCGATGAATTTCAGAATGAACACTAAGCCTCCTGTTGTCTCGGCAGGGCTGTCAAAATCCTTCGCCCGTTGTCATATTTTTTCAACACAATTTTGTATCGATAGTTTATTGAGTGACTGTACATTGTTACATTGGTGATCGTTGATGTCTGATGTCTGATTACAGTGTTACCTTGTACTCAACAGACACAGTGGTTAACATCAATGTGGTCTGTTTCAGGGGACACACAGCCAGAAATATGACAAGAAATCTCAGAAGAGGCGTCATCTACCTCACTGGTCTCGCATGTGTGTGTCTTGTTGGCCTCGTGTTGGTGATGGATGGTGAAGGTCTGTTGTCATACTCGTGTAAGAGTATCGTTGGTATTTATGACCTATGAGAGGCAATTCCTACAGACACTCTACTGTTATTATTCGTGTATCTGTCTAACCTAACCTAAAAAAAATATGTGGTAAGGTTAGGAATTAGTGTCCGTTGTTTTGTTCACTTTGTTCACTTTGTTCCTTTCAGGTAAACATGATAATTACCAAACTTTGAAGTACGACCACCAGGTAACAGACGACCTCAACGAGAACCAGACATCCTTCAAAGCCGTTAACCACCAAGTAATCAACGACCACCAACCACAAAGGGAAGTGAACGACCACCAATCACCACACGACCACAACGACCACCAACCACCACACGATCACAACAACCAACAACCACGACACGACCACAACGACCACCAACCACCACACGATCACAACAACCAACAACCACGACACAACCACAACGACCACCAACCACATCACAACCACAACGACCACCAACCACCACACAACCACAGCGACCAACAACCACGACACCAATACCCTAAGAATATTTTAGTTCTCAGCTCAGCAGGAAGAAGTGGATCCAGCTTTTTAGGCCTACTGGTCGCCTCACTGGGAAGAACAATGTATTTCTTTGAGCCAATAAGAACCCTGAATGAAAAAATCTTCAACAATAACACCAATGACGTGATGGTAACTGACCTAAGGCGAAACTTCCAATGTGAAATGAGAGACAACATGATATATGGTTATAATTACAGACAAACCATTTCTTATTGGCCGTCCGACAAGTGTGGTGAACGACGTAGAGTTACGAGGAAAACGAAAGAGGGAATTGAAAACGCAAGACGAGTGTGTAAGAGTCTGCCAGTGAGGATTATAAAGACCATAAGGTATCGTCTGCAGTGGATATCTGAACTAATACGAGACACTAACATGGATCTGAAGGTGATCCATCTGATGCGGGATCCTAGAGCTGTTATGCTGTCCAGGAGAGTATTTCATCTGGTTAATAAGACGAAAAATACCGTCTGTCCGGCCATGTTACAGGTGAGTGTGTGTGTGTGTGTGTGTGTGTGTGTGTGTGGTGTGTGTGTGTGTGTGTGTGTGTGTGTGTGTGTGTGTGTGTGTGTGTGTGTGTCTGTGTGTGTGTGTGTCTGTGTGTGTCTGTATGTGTTAGGGATGGAAAACCTCGACACACCTGTAAAGAATAGGAAAATATAACCATATATACCTCAGGTAGATGAAGCGTAGCGAGGATCAATTATCATGATTCATTTTATTATCTTTCCAGGATCTACAACATAAACAGTTCATGATGGAACGTTTCCCCGGGAGGTATATGTTTATTAAGTAAGTTCACACGACCATCTTGTTAAGTTCACACTACCATCTGGTTAAATTCACACTACCATATTGTTAAGTTCACACTCCCATCTTGTCATGTGTCAGGTGTGAGGACCAGTACACCAGGTCATGTGTCAGGTGTGAGGACCAGTACACCAGGTCATGTGTCAGGTGTGAGGACCAGTACACCAGGTCATGTCTCAGGTGAAGTAAGACTCATCATGTTACAGGTATGAAGACCTGTGTCAGGATCCTTACGGCAAGACCAGCGAAATATTCAGGTTCCTGAAGGGAGAAGGGAAGGTCTCCAGGAGCACTAACTCCTCTTCTTCAGCGTCTCCGTCACAAGATATCCCCAGGTGCGTCCAGGAGTTCCTTCATACTCATATGCACAATGCTAAGGGCAACCCTTATAGCACCTACCGGAACACAGCCACAACCTGGCAGAAGTGGAGGTCGTCGATCTCCCAGAAGTCACTGATGACCTGGGAACGAGAATGCTCCGACGTCCTTCACATGATGGGCCACAGGATCTTCGGGAGTGTTGACAACGCCAGGAACCTTTCATTGTCCTTGTTTGTTGGGGCGTGAGGACAACAGGATGTGTGTAGGAGTACCAGGATAATGTATGTGTGTGGTTCATTCCTTGAAAAGACATTGTTAAAACTTGAAGTTAAAACAGAGTGTGTTGATTACATAATGTAAGACACAGGTAAAGGAGGTAGGATGATACTGAACGTGTCTACCTGTTGGCTGAAGACACTAACATGTTCTTGTATGTCTATAGAGCAGTAATACATATACTTGGCTCCTCTACCTTGGCTTTGATTATACTTTCTTGTTTTTTTAAATATCAATGATAAAAAATGTGTCTCAGTGTGTATCAGTTATATTTTGTTTTCGTTATAAGTATCAAAACAAAAGTCCAGGAGATATTAATTACTTTTTTACCTGTAATTATACAGAATATTTGGCCAGGTGAACAAGAGAGGTGTATGAGGCTTTACACTGCTTGTTTATTAAGTACAAGATGGAAACTTTTTAATCTGTGTTTCGTATTGACAGACATTTTATCTTCCAAGCTGAATACCTGAAAATTCTACCCCCAGCTTATTTCACCTGAAGGATCTACCCCCAGTTTATTTCACCTGAAGGATCTACCCCCCAGCTTATTTCACCTGAAGGATCTACCTCCCAGCTTATTTCACCTGAAGGATCTACCCCTAAGCTTATTTCACCTGAAGGATCTACCCCTAAGCTTTTTTCACCTGAAGGATCTACCCCCAGCTTATTTCACCTGAAGGATCTACCCTCCAGCTTATTTCACCTGAAGGATCTACCTCCCAGCTTATTTCACCTGAAGGATCTACCCTCCAGCTTATTTCACCTGAAGGATCTACCTCCCAGCTTATTTCACCTGAAGGATCTACCCCCAGCTTATTTCACTTGAAGGATCTACCTCCCAGCTTATTTCACCTGAAGGATCTACCCCTCTTTTTTCACCTGAAGGATCTACCCCCAGCTTATTTCACCTGAAGGATCTACCTCCAGCTTCATGCTACCTCCCAGACCTGAAGGATCTACCCCCAGCTTTTTCACCTGAAGGATCTACCTCCAGCATTACCTGAAGGATCTACCCCAGCTTATTTCACTTGAAGGATCTACCTCCCAGCTTATTTCACCTGAAGATCTACCCCAAGCTTTTTTCACCTGAAGGATCTACCCCAGTTTATTTCACCTGAAGGATCTACCCCAGCTTATTTCACCTGAAGGATCTACCTCCCAGCTTACCTGAAGGATCTACAGCTTATTTCACCTGAAGGATCTACCTCCAGCTTATTTCACCTGAAGGATCTACAGCTTATTTCACCTGAAGGATCTACCCTCCAGCTTATTTCACCTGAAGGATCTACCTCCCAGCTTTTCACCTGAAGGATCTACCCCAGCTTATTTCACTGAAGGATCTACCTCCCAGCTTATTTCACCTGAAGGATCTACCCCTGCTTACCTGAAGGATCTACCCCAGCTTATTTCACCTGAAGGTTAATCATCCTAATGTTATCTGCTGGGTTAGGAGTTAGGTTAGTTTAAAGTCACACACTTACTGTCACACACCACACACCACACCGTCACACACCGTCACATACCACACGTCACACACCACACACCGTCACACCGTCACGTCACATACCACACACCGTCACCACACACCACATACCGTCACACATCACACACCGTCACACCACACTCACACAACACCACACACACCACACACCGTCACACACCGTCACACACACCGTCACACACCACACACCGTCACACACCGTCACATACCACACACACACACACATACCGTCACACATCACACACCGTCACATACCACACACCGTCACACACCACACACCGTCACACACCACACACCGTCACACACCACACTGTCACACACCACACACCGTCACACACCATCACATACCACACACCGTCACACCACACACACACCGTCTACCACACACCGTCACATACCACACCACACACCGTCACATAATACACACCGTCACACACCACACGTCACACACACACACCGTCACACATCACACACCGTCACACACCGTCACACACAGACCGTCACACACACATACCACACCGTCACACACCACACACGTCACACACCACACACACACCACACACCGTCACACACCACACACCGTCACACACACCACACCACTCACCTTCACATACCACACCGTCACCACACACCGTCATACCGTCACACATCACACACCGTCACACACAGTCACACACCACACACACCGTCACATACCGTCACATACCACACCGTCACACACCACACACATCACACACACACCACACCTTTACATACCACACACCGTCACATACCACACACCGTCACATACCGTCACACATCACACGTCACACGCAGTCACACACCACACACCGTCACACCGTCACACAGTCACACCACATACCGTAACACAGCACACACCGTCACACACCTTCACATACCACACACCGTCATACCGTCACACATCCACACCGTCACACACAGTCACACACCGTCACACACCACACACCGTCACACACCACACACCGTCACACTCCGTCATATACCACACGCTGTCACACACCACACACCGTCACACACCACACACCGTCACACAGCACACACTGTCACACACCACACACCGTCACACACCGTGTAATGATGTTGGTGATAGTGGTAGGTAATGATGATGGTGTAAGGAGGTGGTGATAGTGATGTGTGTGGTGGTGTAGAATGGTGATAATGTGTGGTGTGGTGGTGGAAGTATATATATTAGTAGAGGGGGCTGCTTGATGGTGTAATGTGTTAGGAAATGGTGATATTAGAAGACAGATAATGAAAATCCCATACAAGTTGGTGTGTTGGGTAATGAAACCGCCAGCTGGTATATCACAACAACCACCTGTACTCAACCAACACCACCTAAAAATAATACCAGCTGGAGTCCCACAATAACCAGCTGCACTCAAGCACTTCACAACCATCACTACAATCATTCCTGGTCATTACCCGCACCAGCTGTCCTTCCTGAACTGCTGAGCTCATCATAAACTGAGACACTTTATACAGAAGCATCAGCCTTACCTGTTCTAATACCTGGGTAATTACAGGTGTTCGTTCACTGCTTTCATTATATTGTTTTGGATTCATTGTTTGGTTAGGTTAGGTTAGTTTAGTTTGTTTTGGTTAGGTTAGGTTAGGTAGTGAGGCCCCTTCCTTTTCGCTTTTGACTACATAACATACTTTGATGTCTGTCTGTCTGTCTGTCTCAGGTATACACACACACACACACACACACACACACACATGCTAGTACACAGGCATACACACACACATATGCTAGTACACAGGCACACACATGCTAGTACACACACACACACACACACACGAGGACATACATGCATCCTTCCCTCCACCTCCTTCTTTCACCACCTCTCACATCCCTCTCATCACCTCTCACATCCCTCTCATCACCTCTCACATCCCTCTCATCACCTCTCACATCCCTCACATCACCTCTCATCACCTCTCACATCCCTCACATCACCTCTCATCACCTCTCACAGCCCTCTCACCACCTCTCACACCCCTCTCATCATCTCTCACATCCCTCTCAAGGCAGGTGATGATTTCAAGGTAAATTACGTCTTCCTGTTCCACACCTGCCGGACCCTCACTCCACACTCCACACCTCACTCTCTCTCACCCCTCACCCCTCACCCCTCACTCCTCACCCCTTACTCTAAATATGTATCGTAGATCCTTTCATTAAATCGTAAATACATTCTTACATCACGTAAAAAAATCGAGTATCAGAAAAAAAGGCTGAAAAATTCCTCGACTTTTAAACACTATTGTAAATGATTTAAACAAAACACACAACCTTTCCCCATTGTAAACTCGACCTTATAAGCACCTCATTGGTGATATAATCGGGAATGAAATAAACGACCCGGTGGTTAGTATTAATCGACCAGTGTAACAATTGGGTTCTTGGTGACAGTTTGACCAATGTGACATTTCGACCAGGTGACAGCTTGACCAGATAACGATAACGAAGAAACAAGGTCTCCTGGTTCTTGATGATCAGGTAAGGTCAGTTAGTCATGTTTGATAGAATGCTTTACACCAGGAGGATGAGGTGGTGGGAAAAATCACTCCTGTAACATTCACACGTAATATAACAAAGGGAACTTGTTTTATTATCGGGATACAGATTGTCTGAATTTGCATATCGTTGTATCTGGGAGAAGTGACCTGACCTGACCTGACCTAACCTTACTCACGACCACCGACGGACCATGAAGATTTTTGTTTCTCTCTCTCTCTCTCTCTCTCTCTCTCTCTCTCTCTCTCTCTCTCCTCTAGCCGGCTTACAAGTGTCATGTACTGAACCCATGTTGCAACAAACAATTCTGATGTGCCCACACCTACACCTACACCCCCTCCACACACACCTACACCCCCCACACACACCTACACCCCCACACACACCACATACCACCACCCCACACACCATGCACACACACACCACCCCACACCACCACCACACCCACATACCACACACCCATATACCACCCCACCACCACCACCACACCCATATACACCACACCCACATACCACACCCATACCACCACACCCACACACCACCACACCCACACACCACTACACCCACACACCACCACACCCACATACCACCACACCCACATACCACTACACCCACACATCACCTCCCCTCACCCACTCTAATATACAAATCATCCTCGCGTCTCCCACATCCCACAAAAATATTACATCACCAATCATTCTAAATCCAAAATCATACCTGTCCATCATCCTCACTTGTTAATATATCATACCTGTTCCTTAATTCATGTTATTTAGCACTTTTGGGTCAAGCTACGTGACGTCACCGGGTCAAAGGTCATTAGGGAGCGTAGCTACAGAGGTCAAGGGAGCATCTTTCATCTCTCTAAACCATCTCTTGTTGTTTATCTCTCGACAAGAATATGGTCTGTCTGTCTATCTGTCTGTCTCTCTCTTTGTGTGTGTGTGTGTGTGTGTGTGTGTGTGTGTGTGTGTGTGTGTGTGTGTGTGTGTTTGTGTGTGTGCACTAAACCTCTAAAAATATATCGACAAATGGCATAAAAACTGCTCTGAGACTTTACCTTAATTACTTACCTGTATTCATTACCTGTTAGAGTACTTAATTAAAATTATATAACTTTTTTCTATATGATTTTCTTATATAATT